TTTTGAAAAATTAAATTAAATTTAGATGTTATTTTATGGAAAATAACTTTTATTTTCTCAAAAACTTGATAATGAAAGAAATGGAAAGAAACAAAATAGAGTGAATCTTATTGTTTTTCTTTTTTCGTAAAACTCAAAAGGGAAATCATTCACTTTACTTTAAAAAAAAATATTTATTTATTGTTCTTACAAACCTTTTGAGGATTTTGTCTAACAACATTGAGGATGATCCACAAGTAGTGATCGAATTAAGGGTACCAGTAAGACTAAAGAGAAGAACACACTTGATTTACCATTTGGTGTGTACTTATATAGGGACTGTGAGAAGATTAATCTTATTATAATATGACTTAAACAACTTTACGAGGGTTTGTGTGATTATGGTGTTTTGTTGATTGAATTTCTTAGCGTGCGTTTGGATACGCGTTGTCTTAGGGTAATGCACGTATTTTCTTTCAAAAACGCGATTCTTCCTCTGGATGCATGTTTGGGATTTTTCTTCTTCACATGATTCCACGGATGAAAATCAATTTTGGCTGAAGCTGGTGAAGATTGTTTCTACGTCTTGAGAAAATTGATTTTGGTAAGTGGATATTTGATTTTCCACATTTGTCCTCATGAAACTTCAATGTTCCCTTTCTCCTCACCTAATTCATAAATGTTCTGATTCTTCTCATCAATTTTATTCTCATCGATTTAGGGTTTTTTCCTCCTTACGTGTGTACATGTTGCACCTATTTTGAACCAGAAATTTTATTGGACATTTATTTCTACTTCAATGCTAACCAACAACCTCTCCAAGTTGTAACTTTATTTAAGTTGCATTTTGATGGATTGTGCGTTCATGCTTTATGGATCTGTTGGTGTGGCTGGTATAGAACTCTATTTTTGCTGGCACATGAGCTTCCTAAAGAGGTTCAAGTTCATCTTTATTATTTAGGGTTCAAATTTTATCTTCATATAACCATTTTCTTTTCTCTTTACATGCAGTATCTGGATGAGATCAAGTCCTTGATTCTGAAGATTGTTGAAAGCCAGAATACTGGCAAGCTGAGCGAGTGTGCCGAGTAAGAATTGGTTTAAATAGTAGTATCAATTGAAAATTTTGTTTCTCATTTCTTTACATGCATGTCCCCCCATCATATGTACGGTGAAGTTTAAGCATTTCCTCGGGCGGATTAGGATTTGAAGTTGTACTATTTCAACTCTATTATATGATATAATAATAACAATGTGTGAGATGAATGATATGGCTGATTTAGTGTCATATAGTAACTTTAAGGTATTGAAACTTGGAAAATTTACTTGCATCAATCCCTTCAAGTATAGGTAAAAATGAATTATTTTATATTTTGTTGAATTAAGAATGATATTTTTATTTTGTTGAATTAAAGCATGATATTATTTTATATTTTTGTGTGTAGGTAAAAATGAATGAGCAGTTTCTAGAATTGGAATCAAACAATGATGAAGATGATTAATTTATGGAAGAAGCATCATATGTGGGTGTGCTTATTGGTGAATATGCAATAAAGCATCTATGTAAAGAGCCACGTAGAACAAGTGAACAAACAGGTCATGCATGGGTGCACGAAATATTGCAAGGTCATCCTATTTGTTGTTATGAGATGTTTCGTATGAAAAAAACATATTTTCTACAATCTTTGCTCTAAATTAGTTGACCATGGTTTAAGGGCCTCTAAGCGCATGCGATTTGAAGAAATGGTTGCAATTTTTTTAAACATGGTTGGTCATGGGATAGGAAATAGGATGCTTCAAGAGAGGTTTCAACACTCTAGAGAGACTATTAGTAGACATATCCATAAGGTATTAAATGCTTGCCTTAAGTTATGTGTAGAATATATTAGGCCACAAGATCCTCTATTTCATGATAGTCAAGCCAAAATAGAAAATGATACACTGGCCATTTTTTAAGAATGCAATAGGGGCAATTGATGGAACTCATGTTCCATGTGTGGTTACTCCTAGTGACCAAGCAAGATTTATTGGGAGAAAGGATACTCCAACACAAAATATAATGACAGTTTGTGATTGGAACATGTGTTTTACTTTTGTACTAGCTGGATGGGAAGGTATTGCGCATGATGCTCGAATCTTCGATCATGCTCTCACAACTGCCAACTTGAATTTTCCACATCCTCCTCAAGGTATTATTCATTTATATCAATACAATTGAATTCCAATTTCAATTAAATTATATATATTTTTTTTACTTTTTTAATAGGTAAATATTATTTGGTAAATGCTGGTTATTCAACACCAGTGGGATATCTTGGTCCCTATAGATGCGAACGTTATCATCTACCGGATTTTAGACGTAAGAATGGGTTTGAAAATAATAATGAAATTTTCAATTATTACCACTCAAGTTTAAGGTGTACAATTGAGAGAACCTTTGGGATATGGAAGAATAGATTTGCAATCTTGCGACACATGCCTAAGTATAAACTGGAAACCCAAGTGCAAATTGTATGTGCAACAATGGCTATACACAATTTTATTAGAAGGAATGCAGAAAGTGATGTTGATTTTAGCCGTTATGAAAATGAGAACATAACCCTTAAATCAGATGATAATTATCTTGGTACAGTTAACTTAGAGCAAAATCAAGTTCTAAATGTTATTTCTTCATCTAAAATGGATCAAGTTCGAGATTCAATACAAGATGAAATTATACAATTGAAGAACAAACATTAGTATTGATGTTATAAGTTAATATTTTATTGCATTAAAAAGTATTTTCCTTTTATCCTATGTTGTAATGTTGCTATTTTATATATTGTTAATTTACTTTAAATTTTTTACTTGTTTTTATAGACATCCATTTATATAATAAGGTAATATATTAATTATTATTTTTAACATGTTATAAAATTAATAATATACATGTCAATATACAACTAAAAAATAATACATTACAATACAAAAAATCAACAATTAGCTAAGGTCCATTTTGGTAATTATACACTTAAAATTAATTTTAATAACTATTTTCTAAACATCATTTAATATGAAAATCAATTTTTTAATAAATTATTCAAATAAAAATCACGTTATTTTAAAATCACGTTAATCTCAAATCAATTCTCCAAATACAAATCGAAACACGTAATTATTCAACCAAGTTCATTGATCGTTATGTTTAAGATTACATCCATTAATGTGTGGCGTGATTAAGAGATTGTCAAGTCTAATAATTATAACCAATCAAGGCTTGTTAACAACACAATCCCATAAGCTACAAGTTTTTAGGCACAAGATAGCTCTAGATTACAAACTAAGGCTACGATGGTCTATTTCTATAGGTGGTCTATGGTGGACCCAAAGTTTTTTTATCATTAGATCAATCTAATATCCACAATTATACCATACACTCTCCACACTAGATTATATCTTCTCAACTCCTTCCATAGCCACCTTACACAACTAACCACCACCCGACCACCGTGACAATGACAACCGACACAACATCCTTCCGCATTTCCTCAGCTTGTTTAATCTTCCACCATGACAAACCATCCACCACACAATGCCACTGAAATCACCTCCAACTGCGACGCCATTTTCCCTTTTCTGCTTTCGTTGCTCTTCCTCATGTCTTCTCCTTTTTTGTGCTTGTTTTATTATTTGCATGGGTTGAATAATTTTATGGCTGCTACGGACTACAATAGGATTGTTAAAGGGAGAAGAGTTGCACGAAATGCAAATCTAATGCATAGGTACAGGTGAATGTGGATTTGGGCTTCTCCGTGCGTCACTTGTTGGAGAACATAATCATTTGTTGAGAATAGCAACAACGATGAAGAGTAAGAGGCAATTATGATTGAGCCACTCATGATCGTCGATCGTAATTGTTAAGATGTCAAAGTATGTCATCACAATTGTGGTGGCTATAGGAGGCATTGTGACAACTGTTAGAAAAAGTAAATTTAATAGAGCACAGTAAAATAAATAGCACGTGATGCTGCCGAAGTTTTGAATAAGACTAATTATGGAGACTTATGTGAGTTTATGAGCTGATTTGGTCCTCGACAACTAAATGCAGAAGGCTTTCGGGCCAAAACATGCAAGCCCGTTTCCTTTTTCTCATTCCGAGCCACGGCTAACATCTGATTCTCTTGTAACATCTTTAAAGCTAAATCTGCAAAATTTCCATGTACCCTGAATTGATAAGCACAATAGTAGCTCCCTCTCTCTGGTGATTACTTTATAGTACTATGAAACATGATTATTGTTCTTGTTGTGGTTGGTAAACACTATAATCTAATTGGATTCAGTTACTCTATGATAAAGATATACAAACGTCCAAAAGTAAAGACATATCTATTGTTGTTTGACTTTATTCAATAAGTATCTCATAAATTTCAAAGTTGATATAACATCTATTTAGATAAATTTTTCAAAAACATTTAAAAGATAAGAAAATAGGAAGAAAAAATAAGTTAGTTTTTTTAGAAGTTCAAATAAACTAATACATAAGATAATATGTAAAATGCTCTTTCATATTAATTTTTCTAAAAACTTTTTTTTATAACTTATTCATAAATTAAATTAGTTTATGGAGAAGTTTATTTTATTTTATTTTTCTTTTCTATTTTCTTCTTTTATAAGTACTTTCTAAAAAAATTGTGTAAACATGTATATATTTTTTACTTTTCTCACTTGATGCATTTGTTCAATAGGCAAGTATAAGTCTTAGATAGTGAATTTAGGTTTAGTTTAATTCTATAAACTAACTTATAAGGTGAAAATTACTCTCTATTTATATACATTATTATAATTACCTTATTAGTTGATGTGAAATTTCAAATACATCATTTCATGTCAATGACTGGATCTCTTGAATATAAAATTTACAGGATTAAAAATCTATGATAAGGTCTCAACAACAATCAAATTGTTATAATAGACTATGATATTTTCTCAAAATAGTAAATTAGAGTTTAATTCAATTTTATAAAATCAACTTATAAAGGAGATTACGTCCAATAGTAAGGATCAATATACATACCATAAATGCCGGTGGTGATAGAAAAGAAGAACAATAAATTCCAATCTTCATCATCAAACTTGTGGTGGTGGTTTTGGACAGTGTGAGGGTAGAGGTAGCGTGCCATTTCACTTTTTCCTTGCAATGCAGCCATGTGAAGTGGGGTGAGTCCTTCCCCACCCCTCATAGTTGGCAACCTCTTATTTTTTCTTAACATAGCCTCTGCAATTCTTACATTACCAACTGCAGCAGCAAAACAGAAAGCAGTGTTACCTTTGTGATCTTGAAGTTCTAAATCTTTTTCGCTCAGTAGTTTCAGCAACTCCTCTACAAAATGAAAGTGATTTGCTTCCGCAGCCACATGAAGTAGTGTGGCCCATCCCTGTGAGATTGCAGCACTCGCCAACCTTCTATCTGCATCAATCATGGTTCTTGCTTCCTTCCAATCGCCTTTTATTGCAAGATTGTAAATTGGAGCACATTTCTTCACGTAATCCTCTAAGTAAATAGAGAAAAATGTTAAACATGCACATTTAATTATAGTTTTATTTTACGGATAAAATGGTAGATAAGAGATTATACTCTCAAAACTACTAGATATAAAACCAATGACATATATGAGATCTTTAGACTAAACATCAGTGTTTAATCAGTGATTAATCAATAAATTAATAGATACAATAAATGATGTAAAGTGAAATCCTATTTGAAAAAATATATTATCATATGTAATAAAGCATGTTCATGATTGGTTCTACATATAAGATGTGATTTTAGGAAATTAATAATTATATTTTTTTTTTCATCTCATAATGATTTCATTTTAAGGTTTTTAAACACAGATTAAGAACAAATAAATATATCATTTTTTTAATATAATTTTATTAAAATAACTCAATCTTTTAATAAATATATTATTTTTAATTATAGTGATCGAATAATTTATGAAAAGATAAATTAGGGAAAAAATTCATTATATACTACATTGGAAAGGAGCATTGATTTTGAGACATTGATTTTCACACGAACACACATAACTAACATGGATATTGATACATAGTTAATGTTAAAAATATAAAAATACTAAGATACTACATATATATATATTGCTCTCTCTCTATATATATATAATTCAAGATAAGACGATGAGTGTTATCTCCGGAACATAGCTGACACGATGTTCTGCTAATGTATCCATACCTGCATAGATTATAACTTTTATATTCCAAAACATAATTCCTTATTTCTGAAGGAGTTTCCAAATATGCATTTAGTTACCCTTCAACTCTACTTTTCACGAAAAATAGTTAGTTTATGTTTATTGTTGTTCACAAATGACAAATTTTTAACTAAAGTTTAATTTGTCTATACTTTTCATATCTGTAAATAATTGTGCATGCAAATGCAATAGTGAGAGGAAATGAAGTACTTGTATTCTGTACTAGATCACATGAAGGACTTCTGAATTGAATTGATGCAAGTTCATGGGTGACTATCTGTAGTTCTTCCGGATTTGTTGTGCTTCGAACTGCCATAGTCATTTTCACTATAAAAATTAAAGAAAAATTTAATTAATTCAATTTGTGACGACTTATAGTAAAAATTGAGAACTTTAGAGCTTTAGATAAAAATTGACTAGGAAAACAAATTTGCTAAATTTTGAAAATAGAAAACTTATTTTATTTAACAAATAAAGAAAAATCACAAAAAATAAAAATATACTAAACATAAATCATACCTTAAATATATTTTTACGGCTTGATTAAATAATGAACGATTTAGCAATTTTCGAAAATGCCTACTTTCTTAGGAATATTCAATTACCAAAAATCATATCCAAACATATTTATTGGTCCTGTGGTGGAAAAGATATAATTGCAAAACGATCCATGAGAGGCTAAACTATCCCATATAAACCGTTAAGTTGAGTTAGTTGATAAGCTTTTACTTTCTAGGGGTGAAAAGATTTTGATTTTTTATGTATTTTAAAAATACTTATATTACATATGGATGTAACATGCAGACAAATATTGGTTACATATAAATGTAATGTAATAATATTTTGAAAATATTTATGTTGTTTGAAAAGTACAAAATTCCATTGCCAGGGAAAACATAGACGACTGTGCCCATTTTTAATACTCCAGCTTTTTTCTGAAAAACGGGTCAATACGTGATACTGACAACTTTTCTTGGTGGGCCAGTGTTGTTGACTTTGTCGTTTTTGTGCTTGTCACACGGATTCTTGTTGTTTGATCACTGAAGAGAATTATTATTAGAATTTTGTGATATTAGTGAACGTGGAATTTTACTGAGTTATGATATTTCTGAGAAATATTAGTCTACGCATTCAAAATATAAATAACTTTTACAGATAATGTGAGGGTTTATGTTATTTTTTTTTTCATGGACAAGACAATGTACTAAATTAAACAGGTAGTTGTGAATCAATACGTGCTTGCAAAGCGTGTTTCAGGTTGCATTGTTTTAACACAAATGATCAGATTAATGATCATGCATGTGGTTTTAATAAAGAACATTTAATGTTAATTATTTTCTTTTACTATGTTATTGATATGAACATTAACTTTATCACCTTTAATAAAATTTTCCTATAGACAAAATTTATTTGGAAATATTATTTAAAAAGGTTGAATTTAGTATAATTTATACATCAAGTTGTTAATGTTGATTATTCTATTGAGTATATACGGAGATATTGAGAGAAAGTGAGAAACACATGCACGTGTGTGACATTAAATATGGAGTATTCAATCGTAACTATTCTATGGGGTATATGGAGATAGTGAGAGAAACACACACAAGAGGCATGATCAAACAAAAATCCAGCCATTAATTTTAAACGTATATCTTTTCATGCACTTTCGGTCATGTCCATGCACACATTTGAGAAAAAAACAAAAAATTAATACCATCATATTCATAGGCTAGCTAGACCTGGATTCCCGCTGGTAATTAACTTTTGGTTGTTAACTTGTCCATGCAGTATCAAATTAAACTATGAAATAGAATAGACGCGTTTTTTCACATCATAACCTCTCAAAGTAACTACGTAAAAGCAGCCACATACAATGCATCCTTAACTTCATGAAAAAAGAATCTTATATAGTTACATATGCATCTGAAATTTCCATCATTAATTAGTCACTACATACCTGAATCCCACAGAATCTTTTTCTCCTCCACTTGCCTGCCACAAAGATGAATTATCAGCCAAAAAAAGAAAACTTTCAAAAAGAAGAAAAATATTTTGGCCACAGAAAGAGTATTATTCGTGTAAATGTAACTCAAAAAAATTGCCTTAATTACGTGGGAAGAGGAGAGATGGAGAGGCAAAGAGGTAAAGGAACAATAAGAAAATGGAAAAACACATAACCTTGTTATACGATGTATTAAGAGGCTCAACAAGTTACACAACGAAAGAGTTCTAGAGGAAATGAAGGAAGAAAAAAAACCTAAATAAGATTTATGTACCTTATTGTAAGAAATCCCCATAATTTTCTCAAGCGTATGTATGACAATATATGCGAGAACATGTATTCGATGGGTTACTGAAGTGCTCTTTAAACTTTTTTTCCATCAGAAATATAAACAAGAGGAAGTTAAATATAACTGATTACATATTTACAATCGTGAGAGGAACAAATTAAAGAATATATATAGAGATAATCAAATGAAGTTAAATATAAATATACCTATAGTTGAATCAAGCTAAAACGAGAAGATGAAAAAAGGAAGAAGAAAATGGGAAAGAGGCTAAGAATGAAAGTTTATGAAGCAGAACAAGTTGCACTTACCACAAAAAGTGAAGTGTGGAATGAAGAAACATGAACGTGAAGAACAGTTTTTATAATACCAAATAGGAAATCCTCAGGAAAGTGTGCTCGATCATTCTTCTTTTCATTTTTTTTTTACTTGTCCACATATATGTGGTGGGGACATTGATAGCATTTCGAATTGCAATTGCATTCTAAATAATGCAATAGAGCAATGTGTTTTAATTCTAATACATTTTATATATTAAAAATATTTATTTATTATAAATTTTAATAAAAATATTAAACACTTATGTTCTACAATGTTCATGCTAATATACCTAGTTAATTAAATTAGAAGTTTTCATCCTCCAATCAAAATTTTTTTTTTTATTTATAAACAATACACATAATAATAATAATAATAATAATAATAATAATAGAAATAAAATCAAAAATGAAAATTTAATTAGCATTATCGGTGTTAAATGGTTATACACTCATTCATGATATTTATGCTTATATATATAACAATTTCAATAAATCATTTTCAATTACTTTTCATGCCTAATTAAATTATTATTCAAAAAGTAGAATGTTACCTAGTTCTCTAGTTATTTTGAGAATGATAATTAAAATCAATATAAAAAATGTTATACATACAAAAAATATTATTATAAATACAATATATATAAATATAAATTTATTTAATATATACTCACATAATTTTAATATTAATTTTAAATAAAATTCAATAATAGACAACACTCACCTTAATGCGAGCTCTTCCTCGGGAAGTTGATCCAGTAGTTTACAATATGCTGCACGAAGATCCTGCATGAAGTTGGTGGTTTATCTGATCAGATCAGGGAATTGAGGGAATCAATTGAACTACCTCTGATGAATCCTGAGCTATTTCTTCGAGTTGGAATTAAACCTCCAAAGGGTGTTCTCCTTTATGGGCCTCCTTGTACTGGGTTAGCTAGGGCAATTGCCAGTAATATAGATGCTAACTTCCTAAAGGTTGTTTCAAGTGCCATAATAGATAAGTACATAGGAGAGAGATGTTTGGTTATGCTCGTGATCACCAGCCCTGCATCATTTTTATGGATGCCATTGGTGGTCTTCGTTTCAGTGAGGGAACAAGTGCTGATCGTGAGATTCAGAGAACACTAATGGATTGTTGTTGAGACCTTATCATAGATTTTTAATCCTGTAAATTTTATATTCAAGAGATCCAGTCATTGACATGAAATGATGTATTTGAAATTTCACATCAACTAATAAGGTAATTATAATAATGTATATAAATAGAGAGTAATTTTCACCTTATAAGTTAGTTTATAGAATTAAACTAAACCTAAATTCACTATCTAAGACTTATACTTGCCTATTGAACAAATGCATCAAGTGAGAAAAGTAAAAAATATATACATGTTTACACAATTTTTTTAGAAAGTACTTATAAAAGAAGAAAATAGAAAAGAAAAATAAAATAAAATAAACTTCTCCATAAACTAATTTAATTTATGAATAAGTTATAAAAAAAAGTTTTTAGAAAAATTAATATGAAAGAGCATTTTACATATTATCTTATGTATTAGTTTATTTGAACTTCTAAAAAAACTAACTTATTTTTTCTTCCTATTTTCTTATCTTTTAAATGTTTTTGAAAAATTTATCTAAATAGATGTTATATCAACTTTGAAATTTATGAGATACTTATTGAATAAAGTCAAACAACAATAGATATGTCTTTACTTTTGGACGTTTGTATATCTTTATCATAGAGTAACTTATATCCATTTTTTGTTTTGGAACGTTAAAATAAAAAGGAATTAATTAGATTAAATATTTAATTAAATTTTAAATTATAAAATAATTTCTCAACAACAACATCACACCAAGTCCTTGAATGTTGTGACGCTCACGATGGATGTGGGCACTCGCCATTGTCATGGTGGTAGTCAGCTGAGGGAGGTCATGGTAACTGGAGGAGTTGAGAAGATAGAATCTAATGCAGAAAGTGCATGGTATAATTGTGAGGATTAAATTAATCCAATGATAAAAAAAACTTGGTCCACCATAAACCACCCATCCCAATAGTCCACTATAACCTTAGTCTATATTACATTAGTATAACTTAAATAACCTATTACATGATTAATAGCTTTATATAGAATGACTTGATTTTTATTGATCAATTTATTGAATTATAACTTCATTACTTTAATTGTTTATGTCAAATTTTGTAAAAAAATGAACAAAAAAAAAAGTAATCAAGTAATTCACAGGGAATGATAGTTATTAGTAAGTTATGTTAGTTGGAGAGATTTGAACCCACTCACTCCTTATCACTTCAGCCTTATGTCTCTCTCCAAATCCCACACCACCTAGACCACCTTATAACTTTGTCCCTCCTTCCCTCTCTCCCACACACACATATAGATACATGATTGTCAATATTGAGTGTTAACTCGTAAAAACTACCGACTTTACAAGTTTAGGCAACTTAACCTGTTCAAACTTGTATACAAACTTGATTTTAATAAAATCGAGTGAACTCAAGCAAAATCGTCCAAAATTGTGATTTTCCTGCAATTTTGCAGGTCTACAAGGCTCACTAATAAAACCCCCAAAATAACATTAAGAGTAGCGTTCCACTTTAGGATTTATTTTCTTCTTATGTTTCAAATAGATCTTTGAACCCCAAAACTCATTTCTCTCAACTGTGCACTAGGATTTTGTCAACATTGCTTGTCACTCGTTCTCCATGTCGTGGTGTCTCTATGGTAGCTCATTGACGTCGTTGGCTCATCATCGCATTCTCTAATCAATGGTTTTGTAGTTGGCTCACTAGGTTCTCATGGTAAAGGTTCTCTTGGCTAAATCACATGATGGAGACCTTAGACTTGGAAATGATATCATTAGAAAATTAGGCATGAAGATTTGGAGATATTAATCTTTTCTTAGTTTTTTTTTGCTGTCATTTTAAAAACTTGTGCCTTATGTGAAATTATGCATGATTTCCTACAAAACTGTTATTTCATTATTATAATTTACTATTTTACTTTAATATGAAGTTGAAATATCGAATTATTATATTATTTATAAGTATTTTAACATATTTTTTTTATATATATTAAGTAAACTCTTACAAATTTATTAAGTTTATGACTTAACAAATTTACGTAGACTCAATTTTGACAACCTTATATGTGTCTATATATATTATGTCAATCTTAATGCATGTAAATTAGCATCAAATAATTTTTTATTAGTATAAAATTTTGAAAATATGATCTATGTAAGAAATTTTAAATTCAGCATTGGAGCAGATACTACTTTATAAATCAAAAAGAAAATTAAATAATTTTTAAATAAGTCTTTTAAACTCAACCTTCTATTTTAACTTAAGATTTGTTATCATTCTCATTATCATTAAAAAAAAAAAAGTAGTCTCATGTGATACATCTACATTAATTGTATATATTTATATATTGGTGTACAACAGTCACACTAAGATTAAAACATAAAATCTCGGGCATAATAATTAAACATGTGAAAGAAATTAATTTTAAAAAAATTTCCTTTTTATCATACGGTCAGCGATAATTAAAAAAAAAATTCTAATATAAAGTCAACACTAATAAGTAATTATTTCTCTAAAATAAACTAAATTAAACGTGCATATCTTCCTCTATGAGGAATTTGTGTCATTTATGTCCACGACCATCTTACCATCGAGATGAGCGAATTCCTGGTAAAAATAAGCCTTGAAGTGCTCGTGTGAATAACTTAACATCAACAGCACAATTTTCTCGTATCCTCTAGATAATATGTAAAATGCTCTTTCATATTAATTTTTCTAAAAACTTTTTTTTATAACTTATTCATAAATTAAATTAGTTTATGGAGAAGTTTATTTTATTTTATTTTTCTTTTCTATTTTCTTCTTTTATAAGTACTTTCTAAAAAAATTGTGTAAACATGTATATATTTTTTACTTTTCTCACTTGATGCATTTGTTCAATAGGCAAGTATAAGTCTTAGATAGTGAATTTAGGTTTAGTTTAATTCTATAAACTAACTTATAAGGTGAAAATTACTCTCTATTTATATACATTATTATAATTACCTTATTAGTTGATGTGAAATTTCAAATACATCATTTCATGTCAATGACTGGATCTCTTGAATATAAAATTTACAGGATTAAAAATCTATGATAAGGTCTCAACAACAATCAAATTGTTATAATAGACTATGATATTTTCTCAAAATAGTAAATTAGAGTTTAATTCAATTTTATAAAATCAACTTATAAAGGAGATTACGTCCAATAGTAAGGATCAATATACATACCATAAATGCCGGTGGTGATAGAAAAGAAGAACAATAAATTCCAATCTTCATCATCAAACTTGTGGTGGTGGTTTTGGACAGTGTGAGGGTAGAGGTAGCGTGCCATTTCACTTTTTCCTTGCAATGCAGCCATGTGAAGTGGGGTGAGTCCTTCCCCACCCCTCATAGTTGGCAACCTCTTATTTTTTCTTAACATAGCCTCTGCAATTCTTACATTACCAACTGCAGCAGCAAAACAGAAAGCAGTGTTACCTTTGTGATCTTGAAGTTCTAAATCTTTTTCGCTCAGTAGTTTCAGCAACTCCTCTACAAAATGAAAGTGATTTGCTTCCGCAGCCACATGAAGTAGTGTGGCCCATCCCTGTGAGATTGCAGCACTCGCCAACCTTCTATCTGCATCAATCATGGTTCTTGCTTCCTTCCAATCGCCTTTTATTGCAAGATTGTAAATTGGAGCACATTTCTTCACGTAATCCTCTAAGTAAATAGAGAAAAATGTTAAACATGCACATTTAATTATAGTTTTATTTTACGGATAAAATGGTAGATAAGAGATTATACTCTCAAAACTACTAGATATAAAACCAATGACATATATGAGATCTTTAGACTAAACATCAGTGTTTAATCAGTGATTAATCAATAAATTAATAGATACAATAAATGATGTAAAGTGAAATCCTATTTGAAAAAATATATTATCATATGTAATAAAGCATGTTCATGATTGGTTCTACATATAAGATGTGATTTTAGGAAATTAATAATTATATTTTTTTTTTCATCTCATAATGATTTCATTTTAAGGTTTTTAAACACAGATTAAGAACAAATAAATATATCATTTTTTTAATATAATTTTATTAAAATAACTCAATCTTTTAATAAATATATTATTTTTAATTATAGTGATCGAATAATTTATGAAAAGATAAATTAGGGAAAAAATTCATTATATACTACATTGGAAAGGAGCATTGATTTTGAGACATTGATTTTCACACGAACACACATAACTAACATGGATATTGATACATAGTTAATGTTAAAAATATAAAAATACTAAGATACTACATATATATATATTGCTCTCTCTCTATATATATATAATTCAAGATAAGACGATGAGTGTTATCTCCGGAACATAGCTGACACGATGTTCTGCTAATGTATCCATACCTGCATAGATTATAACTTTTATATTCCAAAACATAATTCCTTATTTCTGAAGGAGTTTCCAAATATGCATTTAGTTACCCTTCAACTCTACTTTTCACGAAAAATAGTTAGTTTATGTTTATTGTTGTTCACAAATGACAAATTTTTAACTAAAGTTTAATTTGTCTATACTTTTCATATCTGTAAATAATTGTGCATGCAAATGCAATAGTGAGAGGAAATGAAGTACTTGTATTCTGTACTAGATCACATGAAGGACTTCTGAATTGAATTGATGCAAGTTCATGGGTGACTATCTGTAGTTCTTCCGGATTTGTTGTGCTTCGAACTGCCATAGTCATTTTCACTATAAAAATTAAAGAAAAATTTAATTAATTCAATTTGTGACGACTTATAGTAAAAATTGAGAACTTTAGAGCTTTAGATAAAAATTGACTAGGAAAACAAATTTGCTAAATTTTGAAAATAGAAAACTTATTTTATTTAACAAATAAAGAAAAATCACAAAAAATAAAAATATACTAAACATAAATCATACCTTAAATATATTTTTACGGCTTGATTAAATAATGAACGATTTAGCAATTTTCGAAAATGCCTACTTTCTTAGGAATATTCAATTACCAAAAATCATATCCAAACATATTTATTGGTCCTGTGGTGGAAAAGATATAATTGCAAAACGATCCATGAGAGGCTAAACTATCCCATATAAACCGTTAAGTTGAGTTAGTTGATAAGCTTTTACTTTCTAGGGGTGAAAAGATTTTGATTTTTTATGTATTTTAAAAATACTTATATTACATATGGATGTAACATGCAGACAAATATTGGTTACATATAAATGTAATGTAATAATATTTTGAAAATATTTATGTTGTTTGAAAAGTACAAAATTCCATTGCCAGGGAAAACATAGACGACTGTGCCCATTTTTAATACTCCAGCTTTTTTCTGAAAAACGGGTCAATACGTGATACTGACAACTTTTCTTGGTGGGCCAGTGTTGTTGACTTTGTCGTTTTTGTGCTTGTCACACGGATTCTTGTTGTTTGATCACTGAAGAGAATTATTATTAGAATTTTGTGATATTAGTGAACGTGGAATTTTACTGAGTTATGATATTTCTGAGAAATATTAGTCTACGCATTCAAAATATAAATAACTTTTACAGATAATGTGAGGGTTTATGTTATTTTTTTTTTCATGGACAAGACAATGTACTAAATTAAACAGGTAGTTGTGAATCAATACGTGCTTGCAAAGCGTGTTTCAGGTTGCATTGTTTTAACACAAATGATCAGATTAATGATCATGCATGTGGTTTTAATAAAGAACATTTAATGTTAATTATTTTCTTTTACTATGTTATTGATATGAACATTAACTTTATCACCTTTAATAAAATTTTCCTATAGACAAAATTTATTTGGAAATATTATTTAAAAAGGTTGAATTTAGTATAATTTATACATCAAGTTGTTAATGTTGATTATTCTATTGAGTATATACGGAGATATTGAGAGAAAGTGAGAAACACATGCACGTGTGTGACATTAAATATGGAGTATTCAATCGTAACTATTCTATGGGGTATATGGAGATAGTGAGAGAAACACACACAAGAGGCATGATCAAACAAAAATCCAGCCATTAATTTTAAACGTATATCTTTTCATGCACTTTCGGTCATGTCCATGCACACATTTGAGAAAAAAACAAAAAATTAATACCATCATATTCATAGGCTAGCTAGACCTGGATTCCCGCTGGTAATTAACTTTTGGTTGTTAACTTGTCCATGCAGTATCAAATTAAACTATGAAATAGAATAGACGCGTTTTTTCACATCATAACCTCTCAAAGTAACTACGTAAAAGCAGCCACATACAATGCATCCTTAACTTCATGAAAAAAGAATCTTATATAGTTACATATGCATCTGAAATTTCCATCATTAATTAGTCACTACATACCTGAATCCCACAGAATCTTTTTCTCCTCCACTTGCCTGCCACAAAGATGAATTATCAGCCAAAAAAAGAAAACTTTCAAAAAGAAGAAAATAAAAACTTTTTTTTATAACTTATTCATAAATTAAATTAGTTTATGGAGAAGTTTATTTTATTTTATTTTTCTTTTCTATTTTCTTCTTTTATAAGTACTTTCTAAAAAAATTGTGTAAACATGTATATTCAAAATCCAATACACGAATTATTAATCTATTGACTCAGGTTCAGTCAGCTAGAGCTAGTTACCTTGGAGACAGGCTTGAGTTTGAGGCAAGGACTATCGGTGTGAGCGCCGATTATGTAGAATCCGTTTCCAGCGACGTACCTAAGAAGTTGTAAAAACGACGCATAATTATTCACTATTCCACGTTTGTATGAAAAGATAGGGAAACTGAGCGAACCTTTTGCCGACGGCGAAGGCGACGATGGTGGAGTGGTTTCTGGTGAAGAAGTACTTGTTGCCAGGTTGCAGTTCCCAGAGCTCCTTCTCCGAGAGTTGGTGGAAACCCGCGCTTTGCAAACGCTTCTTGGCCTCGTCTGAAAAGAAACAGGTGTGAGTGAGGATTCGCGATTGGGTGAGGGGAGAGAGAGGAGAGAGACGGTTGTGGAATTGGTTTTACCGACGGCGTGGAAAGCCGTGGGAGAAGCGTTGAGGAAGTCGATGAGATCGGAAACGACGGCGTGAGTCTCTTGCTTCGCCATTGTTGATTCAGATCCTACTTCACTCTCAGTTATTCTCTTCTCTATCGCTGTTGCGTTTACGAAGCGAAGACCTAAGCAACGGATATATATATGCAGTGGCGATTACTTTCACTGTAGCACGGATGAGCAAGAGATACGTCTTTTCTCAAACCCCTTTTTTTTATTTATTTATTATTATTATTATTATATCTTTTATTTAAATTTCAATCCAGATAATCAAGACTCAAAATATTCGATTAAATCTTACACAAACTATTGATATTAATATTACATATAACTAAATCTAATATATATATATAAGAAATATAATAAGTTTATACAATTAGAATCTCTATATTATCTTATGTATTAAAGTTTTTTAAGTTACACTTGTTCTTTAATTTTTTTTTATTTTTTAATTTTTTAATTTAAAAAATAAAAATTATTTGAAATTTTAATTGAAATTATAATAAAAAAGAGATATTTTATTTTTTAACTGAATTTATAAATAAATAAAATTTAAATTAAATTAAATTATATATAATTTTTATAAAAAATAGAAAAGATTACAAAGATAGTCACAATGAAAATTGAATCTAGGTTTTCATACTTCTAATTATCTCAATCCCTCTCCACTCATTTTCAAAATTATTCATTGTTTAAAATTTAAAAAACTATCAACTTTTAATCATTATTACAGTAAGATCGAGACTTATAAAAGTTACTAATTTCTTCTTAAATCTTATTTATATTTTACTCATTTATTAATTTTAAAACTCATATATGTTGACCTAAATCTTCATCTTCTACTTATCTTCATATTAGATCTTTCATTAATAATTTATAGTACTTTTAATAATTTCAAATGCATGTTAGAGAGTTCTTGACTCTTAATTGCCAGGTGTACATGTGTTGATAAAATATTCTTAGAGAGAATAATGTTGCTATTCATGAGTTGGCTAGATGAAGATCTAGATTTAGTCTAATATTTATTAAATGGAAGAATCCTCTAAATTTTATCTTATATGAAATTAATTTAAATTTCCTGTAGTTCTCTTTATTTGTTTCTATTCATCAATATACAAAAAAAAATTGCATGCTGATTTTTTCTTATAAAATTGAAAGTAGTTAATTTTTAAACCACCCATTTTAAATGTTTTACTTCATTATTCTTTTATTGGTTTAAATATGTTATAACATATATAAAATTGTTCATCTTAAAAGCTAAAAACATTTTAAAAAATAGATATTAAAAATAAATTTTTAATTTATCAAATTTAACTAAAAATTAAAAATTAAATACTTTAATTATGTGATTTACAAAAAAAAATCACTAAAAGAATTATGAAAAAATAATTCTATTATAAAATAATAAAGCCACTACACCAACCCTACACCCAAACCAATAAACCCAAAAATCCAAAACCCTAGATATAATTAATGAGATTAAAATTTCACAACTTAAATTTTGAAATATTATCTAAAAATAAACCCTAACAATTATAATTCTATTATCACATTATCTAAAAATTTAAAATATATCAATTACAAAAAATAATAATAAAATAATGATGAGATTTATAAATCATTTTTACTAAAAGATAATTCTATTAAAAAATATTTTTCTAATTTATCAAACTATTAAAAAAATTTAATTTTTTAAATAGGTCAGATATAAAAAAATTACAAGAATAATTACAAAATTTTGGAAATCTTTTTAACTAAAATATAATTTTATTATAAGAAAATAAAATGACTAAATCCTCAAATCATAAATATAAATCCTAAAACTCTAAACCTCAATCCTAAATATAAACCTATTTTTTTAATTTATAAAATTATATAAAAAATCAAAAATTTTAAACATACTAGTTACAAAAAAAAAATATTAGAATAATTACAAGATTTTTAAATCCTCGTTGCTAAAAGATAATTTTATTATAAAATATTTTTTAATTAATCAAGTTATCTAAAAAAATTAAATCAAATTTGTTTAATATGATTCCTTAAAAAAGTCACTAGAATAATTAAGAGATTTATAAATTCTTTTCACTATAAGATAATTATACTATAAAATAATAGTCATTAAACTAACTCTAAGCCCAAAACAATAAATTCAAAATCCTAAAATTATAAATATAAAACCCTTTTATTAATTTATCACATTATTTAACATTTTGATATGTTTTATAGTTTAATATTTAAAATAATTAATTGAAGAATACAGTATTATTTGTGTTAGCATGATTTTAATTATTTTATGAATGATGTTCTACAACTCATTCTATCTGCATAAAGTCCAGTACTTATATTTTGTGATATTATTTATTATTCAATTAAATATTTTTGACCAGAGGTATAATGATCGATTTTTGTGACATTACAATAATTTATAAATATGAAATTCATTTGTACCTTATATAAGATATAAAATTTTGCATTATATATTTGTTCATTTGTATACATTTTTATCTTATTATTTTATTCTCTTTATGGTAGAGGTATTAAAACAATGTTTATTTCACAAATAATCAAGAAAAGAAAACATGTGTATATATATACACAAGTTACTTACTAGTTATAAAATAAATAAATAAATATATATATATATAACTAAATTAGGATATATATGATAATATATATTTTTAATTGAACTATATTATTATAAATATGTAAAATATTATTATTCAAAAAAAGACTTTTATTATTAATGTACAACTATTCAAAAAAATAATATTATTTAAAAAAAATATCTAATTAAGATGAGACAATCTGGAAACATAAGACGAATTGTAAGGAAGTGTATTATCCACATTGGCTTATAAAAGGTTCACATGCTTATAATTTATCTTCCACACCAAATTGCTACCCTATGATGAATTTAGTATAATAAGAATTGATAGTTTAAATATTAAATCCCCTTTATTAATGGCTATTTACATGAAATTTAAATTATACGATTTGACCCTAGAATGTCTATATGATTACTTTTGTTATAACGATATTTAAAATAAAAGAAATGGAAGATAGAGAGAAAAATTGATGAATAATACCTCGTAGCAACCTTTATTAATGTTCTTCAAATACAGGAGATTTGAGGCAATTTTTGGCTGCCTTACACACTACACAAATACCTCACAAATCTCAAGAAATATAAAAAGAGGGGGAGAGAGAGAGATTTTTCGAGCTATGTGGAGTTCTGAACAAATTTTTTCCAGCCCCTGGAGCAATGACTGAGTCTATTATTTATAGACGTCAAACCTGACCAGAATGGCCCATTCAGGGTCATTCAGTTATGAGTTAAATTTGAATCTGGAACGGCCCGTTCTGATGACAAAATGGCCTGTTCTCGCTTTGAATTTGTCTCATAACAAACCATGCTGGAACAACCCATTTTGGCCCGTTCTCAACTAGGGTTTTTGGTTTTTTTTTTTTTAAATTTGGAATGGCCTGTTCTAATTTGGGAACGACCCATTCCATCTTGGGAATGGCCCGTTCCGATTTTGGAACAGCCCGTTTTGGATTACTAAACCAAATTTGTTGGGCCTCAAGCTCCCTTGTTGTCATATCATGTTGTATCCATGCTTTGGGAGTTTCTTCCTTTCATAATAGAGGTCCATTTCCTTGTTTATAGGTCCGGAAAAAAATTGGGTGTCTACAAGGAGAAGGCACATTCCTCCTTATTATGAGAGGCAGTTCATGGACAAGCTCCAATGACTCTAACAAAGAAACCAAAGTGTGGAGGAATATAGGCAACAAATGGAGTAGCTTATAATGAGGGTTGGGATAAGGAAAGAGGAAAGGACCACCATAGCAAGGTTCCAAAGTGGTCTTAGAAATTAGGGACAAGGTTGAACTATTTCCTTATAGAGACCTAAATGAACTAGTTCAACTTTGTGTGAGAATAGAACAACAACTTAAGAGAAATGAATAAGATGCAAGCCTTAGCTCTAGTGAGGAAGCACCATGTGGTGGTGACCTATTGGTTTTCCAAAGGTTACTTACCAACAAACCTAGTGAATAAGATCAATCATAAAGAGAGAACCTTTTCCATTCTAGATGCAAAATTTTTAAGAAAACTTGTTCTCTCATTGTTGATAGTGGAGCTTGAAATAATTTTGTAAGTTAAAGGTTGGTTGATAAGCATCACCTAACTACTATAGCCCATCCTAAATCTTAGAAACTTCAATGGCTTAATGAGGATGGACCTATAGAAGTTAAGGACGAAGTAAATGTTCCTTTCTCCATTGAAAAGTATAAAGATGAAGTTTTGTGTGATGTAGTTTCAATGGATGCAAGCCACATTTTATTTGGAAGACCTTGGCAATATGATAAGAAAGTCATTCATGATGGTGTTACTAATAAAATTCGCATAGTACTCCTAGGCAAGAAACATATCTTGACTTCTCTTTCACCTTCACAAGTGTTGAGGGTCAGGTATTTATGAAATTTTTTTTGATGAGGATAAAAAAAGTTAAAAAAAATGTCTTAGGTCTTGAAAAGGAGGAAGAAAAGGTGATAAAGTTGGAAGGTAGTGTCCCTTCCAAAGAAGTTATGCCTTGAAGTTAAGTTTCATTAAATCATTCGTTAAACAATGTCTTCTGGTTGAACAACCTTTTACCTTCTTTATGTTAAAAAGATACTTACTGCCACAAGTTTTGAACTCGTGCCTCTATCTAAGGGGGTTCAAATTCTTTTAAAAGAATTTAATGATCTATTTCTCGAGGAAGTTCCAAGTGGACTTCCCCTTTTAAGGGAAATAAAACATCAAATTGACTTGGTTCTTGAGGCTAGCCTACCCAATAGGCAATCAAGCTCAAGAAGGGTTTCCCAGAGACACCTCACAAGTTGGAGTGCCAAAGTTGGATTCTTACCTGTCACAAATAGTTTCACAATCTGGTTATATATATATGATGAAATAAGGACCATGAAATCAGTAATCTCATAGTAGCTATATTTCTAGAGTATGAAGAAATATACTTTCTTCTCCCCTTCTATGTTCTAATGAATAAAATGTGGTGTCCTCATTTATGATCTTGATGTACATATATTAGACGAAATTGTAAAAGATGAAAAATATTCTTAGTTTAACGTCAA